CAAACAGTGTGTTACCTTTAACCTTTTGACTTATTCATTAATCACAAATTAATTCTCCTTACCTTACATAACAAATAACACTAAAACTTGTAAATTATTGCATATAACAGGGAAATCGTTGCATCGCTGCCTAAACATGACGAGGTACGTTAGCGCCCTCTAGTGGGTGAAAACTTAGCCTTTATGCTTAGTAGCGGTCAGCAGCTATATGCTCCGTAAAACAACAAAATACATATCTACAGGACAAACTTTGTTACAAACCTTGTTCCCTCATCAACCAGGTGCTAAGAAACTGCTTTCGACTCAGTGTTGCACCTTAATAGCCGTTCTTTTTCCCATTCCCGTCCATTAACCATAGAGCACACCTTCTCTCTGTGCATTAAAACTCGCGCTTCTGCCATATGGTTTACGCCACTTGATTTACGGCACCTTGTTGCTCTGTGACTTTCAAAATAAAAGCATTCACTCCAACAATATAATAGCCACTCATAAGTTTACAAAACACTTTACCAAATATTAATGAGGTCATTTACAGTTAGTCCGTCCAGCCGTAAAGGCGGTTATTGATTGAGAGTAAGTTGTGTAAGGGCGGACTAACCTCTCTTTTGTTTTTGTTTAATTGTTTGTGCCACTTCCCTTTTTCTCCCAGATCACAGGCCATACATAGCACTGATTCCCAGCTGCGCTGAGACCGGAATTGTTTGCAGTGTGTGCCACGATTGCAGTGTTGCTAAACGGGGTGTGACGGGTTGCAGTGTTGTTATTTTCGCACAGTTTGTGTGGTAAGTCTCATGTGCAGCTGGGATATCAGCAGGATGTATTGTAAGTCCTGTCTGGAAATAACTGGGAATTTGTATGTCTAACTCATTTAATAAATAAATGATCAATTTATTTCTTTGCCCCGTTTACTCAGCCCTTGTCCTCGGTTACATAATGATCAATTTTGACGTTTAAAGCGTTTAGATTGATCAGTTGTTTACATCACTCAACACAAGCAGAACTGCATTACTGCAGCAGAAGACACATCGTCCACATTCAGAAGCACATCTCTGTATAGTGACTGGTCTTATGATTTAAACAGGCAAATGTTCAGCATTCAAACTACAGGTGAAGAATAGTCAAACCAGATGTTTCCCCCATTATGTCGATATCAGCTAGTCAAGTAAGATAAGATAAGATAAGATAAGATAACCTTTATTAGTCCCACACGTGGGAAATTTGTTAAGTACACACCTAGCATGTTAACAAACCGGGAAAAAAGCCACACAAAAAATGAATGATTGCTGGTAACGGTTTCTATTTACGAAGGGTATGTTGTGACTTACCTTCAAAATTACAGCGGTCCCTCGCTATAATGCGGTTCACCTCTCACCTCGCTGTTTCGCGGATTTTTTTAGTGCAAGTTTGCATGCTTTTTTTTTACGTCACATTGTGTCCTGCGTCCTGATCGCTGCAGACGATCTCCTCCGTGACGTCTCTCCTGTACTGTACAGAATCACTGCATCGATCGCTAGCAGTGTGACTCTGAAGTGCAGTACTGTATGTCCACGATGTCCACGAAACGTTTTGCACCCTCAAAAAATAAAATTGGCTACTTGATTTCACCTATCGCTGGTTATTTTTAGAACATAACACCCGCGATAAACGAGGGACAGCTGAGAAATATAACATTTGAATCCCTTTTCTCTTTTGCCCTGAGGCGCGGGGGAAAAATATCGACAAGTTGATGAACATCATTTACAGATATATTGGGTAAATGCCAAAGACATCTATAGAAATGTAAATCGCCGCTTGATTCATTCATTTGCTTAACTTGTTTTGGACCTGTGGTATTGCAAGAAATAAGTGGTTATATAAATATATGAGTATACATAATAGTTATTATTCATAGATACCTACATCCTTTTTTTTTTTTTTTTTTTTTTTTTTTTTTTGCCTGTCCCATTTGGTTCTTTAGCCATCAGAATTGTTGTCTGAAGACCAACAAGGATACCTAATGGATTTACTTTGCCAAATGGATCATCGTGGCATTGCCGTATTGGTCCATTTGGTCGATCTTTATTTTTATTATTTATTATATTTTATTTCCAGATGTTACAGACGGGACAGACATGAGTGAGAGATAGGAAAGGGAGAAAGAAAGAGGAAGGAAAGGAAAATAAAAATCTCCTGGATCACCTGTTGAGAGAAGAATAGAAAACAAGCAAAAAAAGACAAAAAAAAAAAAAAAAAGAAACAAAGCAACATACTAAACACAACACCATCGCATTAATCTAGCTAAGTGTAAACAGCAGTAAATACTAAATATTCAATGTTGTTGTGCAGCACGCAGGACAGATGTGCTTCGAAGTAGCAGCCAAGAAAGGTGTAATTTGGGTCTACGAGCAGTGAACACCCGTGTGCATACCTGTGTGGATCAGCGCGCTTGTATTCCAAAGGTTTCTCCATGTAACGATCTGCTAGGGAGTGTGGGGGGGCCACAGCCCCGTCCTCCAGGGTGTGAAGCAGGTATGGAGGAGATCAAAACTCCAGACATCCAGAGGCCCCCAGAACACAAGAAACCATGGAAGACCAACAGAGGGGCAGCCGCGCCACTGTTCCAGTAAGAGCTGAGGAGAGTCCCAGATGAGGGTTCACTCAGCAGCCGCGGAGCAGAAGCCAGGGGGAGTTGCAGTGACGCGCCCGTGAGCTCCGCCGGCCGCCAGCTGTGCCTGAGTGACCGAGCCCCAGGCCGAGGGGCCGGGGGCACCCCACCCCCGAAGGGGCCCGAGCGAGCCCCAGGCTCCAGACCCCGATAAGCGGCCGCCAAGGAGTGAGCCGGTGTGTACCTGGACGCCCACCCCCAGGCACAAAGAACCACCAACGCACCGACACCTGAGGGAGTCCGCCACCGGCAGGGGAAGTGGTGGTGGGTGGAGATAGGCCTCCAAACCTTGGAGGGCCTGAGATGTCCCCAGGGAGGTGGCGTCTGATACCCAACCTGACATATAGACACAGACATACAGGCACACACAGACACAAACATCCATTCCCCCCCTCATGCTCTCATATGCACTCACTACACACTCAACCAACGTGGATACCTACATCCTAAGTTCCTGTTATTCTTCTGAAAGAAACAGAATGAGTGTGTTGTTACAATGGTAATGTCAGGAGAGGCAGTATTAGTTCTGTGTTACATTAATGTGTAAGGAAGTGGAAGAAGTGTGTGTCCTGTAGGAGAATCAGAATCAGAATCAGAATACTTTATTGATCCCTGGGGGAAATTATTTTTTGTTACAGTGCTCCATTTTAAACCAACATTAAGACAAGACAGACAATACGCTAACTAAGAATAGTACAATATATACATATATATACATACATACATACATACATACATACATACATACATACATACATACATACATACATACATACATAAGTCACTCATAAATAAATAGTTGGAAAAGAAACATGTGTAGTTGTAGCAGCAAACAGTGTGTTAAGTGGATGCGTTGTACAGGGAGATGGCCACAGGCAGGAATGATTTCCTGTGTCGTTCAGTGGTGCTTTTCGGTAATCTCAGTCTCTCACTGAACGAGCTACTGTGACTGACCAGCATGTCATGGAGTGGGTGGGAGGTGTTATCCAACATTGTCTTTATCTTGGACAGCATCCGCCTCTCCGACACCACCTTGAGGGAGTCCAGCTCCATCCCCACAACATTGCTGGCCTTACGGATTAGTTTATTAAGTCTGTTGGCATCTGCGACCCTCAGCCTGCTCCCCCAGCATGCAACAGCATAGAGGATCGCACTGGCCACCACAGACTCATAGAAAATCCTCAGCATTTTCTGGCAGATGTTGAAGGACCTCAGTCGCCTCAAGAAATAGAGACGACTCTGGCCCTTCCTGTAAAGTGCTGTGGTGTTTTTAGCCCAGTCCAGTTTATTGTCAATGTGTACTCCAAGGTATTTATAGTCCTCCACAATGTCAACACTGACCCCCTGGATTGAAACAGGGGTCAAGTGTTTCCTGGTCTTCCTGAAGTCCACGATCAGTTCCTTGGTCTTTGCCACGTTGAGCTGCAGATGATTCTGCTCACACCACGTGACAAAGGAGTCGACCACAGCCCGGTACTCTGTCTCATCATCCCTGCTGATGCATCCAACCACCGCAGAGTCATCAGAAAACTTCTGAAGATGGCAGGTCTCTGTGCAGTGGCTGAAGTCTGTGGTGTAGAGGGTGAAGAGGAAGGGGGAGAGGACAGTCCCCTGTGGTGCCCCTGTGTTGCTAATCACCTTGTCAGACACACACTGTGGGAGACGTACATATTGTGGTCTTCCTGTCAGGTAATCAACAATCCAGGACACCAGAGAAGCATCCACCTGCATCGCTGCTAACTTATCACCCAGGAGGGTCGGCCTGATGGTGTTGAAAGCACTGGAAAAGTCAAAAAACATGACCCTCACAGTACTCGCCGGCTGGTCCAGATGGGTGTAGACACGATTGAGCAGGTAGATGATGGCGTCCTCAGTTCCGAGACGAGGCTGATAAGCGAACTGAAGGGGATCCAGGTGTGGTCTTACTATGGGTCGCAGCTGGTCCAGGATGAGCCTTTCCAGGGTCTTCATGATGTGGGAGGTCAATGCCACGGGCCTGTAATCCTGGGGGCCACTGGGACGTGGCGTCTTTGGTACAGGGACGAGGCATGATGTCTTCCACATCACAGTAGGCAGTAGAAAATGGATGCTCATGTTCTGTACATGCCCTGAAAGAAAGGTTCAGTAAACCAGTGCAACGATACTCCGGTGTAAGGCTCAGTTATTGTATCTTTATTTTTTGAAGATGCAACATCTTTTTGGCGACGAGGACGTTTAGGGGGAAGGAGTTTGGGCGATCGGACTGAAAGAAAAGAGAAGAAAAAAAATTGATGGAGTCGGCTACAGGTTTGGCTAGCTTTTCAAAGAATGCAAAAGTTTTCGGCTGGAAATAGAAGGCAGTGACCTCGAAGCGGAAATGGCTACAATTGGCACGCTAGTAGCGTTCGATCCAAAGAATCAGACTTGGGATGAGTATACGGAAATACTCGAGCAGTTTTTCGCAGCTAACGGGATCGACGATGCAGAGAAACAAAGAGCGATATTAATAAGTGTCGTCGGAGCAGCGACGTACAGCTTGATGCGAAACCTTCTCAGCCCGGCCAAGCCCAAAGACAAAACCTTCCAAGAGCTGGTGCTTCTGATGAAAAATCACTTCGATCCGAAGCCCAGTGAAATTGTGCAAAGGTATAAGTTCGACTCTCGCTCCCGCAAGCCGAATGAAACCGTCATGGAATATGTAGCGGAGCTGCGTCGCCTGGCACAGGATTGTAACTATGGCAACACGTTACAACAGATGTTGAGAGATAGGATCGTCTGCGGAATTAAGGATGACCGAATTCAGAGACGTCTCTTGTCAGAAATAGATCTCACTTTTGACAAGGCTCTGTCAATTGCAGTAGCCATGGAGACTGCAAATAAAAATGCACAGGACCTGCAGACCTCAAGGGCATCAGCAAAATGTTTCAGTCTCACTAGAGGACAACAGGAGAGTCGTACCTTTAAAGCAGAAAATAAAGAGTGTTATCGTTGCAAAGGAACCAAGCACACAGCAGCAGACTGTAAGTACAAACAAGAAAAATGTCATGCTTGTGGTAAAGTGGGACACATAGCTAGAGCTTGTAGAAGCAAGACTAAACTGAACCAGAAAAAGTATGGATCGACATATGTAAAGAAAGAAAAAAAGCAGAGTTCACACTACAGTACTCACAATGTGGGCGAGAAAGCAGATAACAACAAAACTGATAGCTCTGAAGATGACTCTTTCATGTTGAACTGTGTCAAGTGCAGTCAAGGGCACAACAGAAAACTGTTCAAGTTAGGGCGTGGCAGGCGGTACACTTAAGAAGAGTAGACCCCTACACTATGGATATGCAAATTGATGGGAAAAAGGTGAACTTTGAAATAGACACTGGATGTTGCCTAACAGTCATGAACGAAGCAACATTCAGAGAAAAAGGGAAAGACAGCAAGCCCCCCAGCCTGCAGCCCATCAAAATCAAGCTCGAAACTTATACAGGGGATCCTGTTAAGGTGATTGGTGCAACACGAGTCAGCGTCAAATACAAGCAGCAGAAAAAACATCTGCCCCTGGTGGTGGTCGAAGGCGACGGCCCCAGCTTGCTAGGTCGAGCTTGGCTCGAGGAAATTAAATTGGACTGGGGTGAAGTGAAAAACAGTCCTAACAACAGAAAGCTGCACCAAGTCAAAACAACAGAGAAAACACTTCAGCAAGTGTTAAGTAAACATGAAAATGTGTTCAAAGAGGAGTTGGGCACCCTGAAAGGAATGAAAGCTGCTATTCATGTGAAAAGTGATGCCACCCCACGCTTCTTCCGTCCGCGTTCTGTCCCCTTTGCTATGCGAGCAAAAGTCGACGAGGAAATAGACCGACTGTTGAAAGAAGGCATCATCTCGCCAGTGAAATATGCTGAATGGGCGGCACCAGTAGTGCCACTCCTGAAGCCCACAGGGACAATAAGACTGTGTGGGGATTACAAGCTTACTGTAAATACCGTGGCTTCACTGGAGCAGTACCCCATACCCAGAATGGGGGACTTGTTTGCCACACTGTCCGGGGGTAAGCAGTTCTCAAAATTAGACATGAGCCACGCTTACCAGCAAATCCTCTTGGATGACGAATCGAAAAAGTCCGTGACAGTAAACACATCTCGGGGGCTGTTCACGTATAATAGATTGCCTTTTGGAGTGGCCTCTGCTCCAGCAATATTCCAGAGGACCATGGAAAGTCTTTTGAAGGGGATACCTCATGTAGCAGTGTATTTAGATGACATCTTAGTGACTGGAGTGGATGAAGTAAGCCATCTACAGAACCTGGATGAGGTGTTGACCCGGTTGGAGGAAGCTGGGTTGAGGTTAAAGAGGTGCAAGTGTGCCTTCATGCAAGAGAAAATGGAGTACTTGGGGCACATAGTGGACGCCCAGGGGCTCCACCCAGTGGAAAACAAAGTTAAAGCAATCATGGATGCAGCTGCCCCCACAAATGTCACTGAACTGAAAGCATACTTAGGTTTGCTAAATTACTACAACAAATTCCTTCCAAACCTGGCAACCCTGTTGGCACCCTTACATGAACTTTTGAGACACGAGGTACAGTGGACATGGCAAAAGAGACAAGAGGAAGCATTCCAGAAATCTAAGAACCTGTTGAACTCAGCAGAGGTGTTAGTTCATTATTCTGCTGACCGTGAGTTGGTTCTCTCATGTGATGCATCCCCATACGGCGTAGGCGCCGTATTGTCACATAAGATGGAGGATGGAAGCGAGAGACCTTTGGGGTTCATGTCACGCACACTCTCTCCTGCTGAGAAAAAGTATTCTCAGCTTGACAAAGAAGGTCTAGCTGTGATATTTGGCATCACGAAATTTCACAAATACTTGAATGGCCGAGTTTTCATGATTTACACAGATCATAAACCCCTAATCTCACTGTTCAATGAAAAGAAGCCTATACCTCAGATGGGCTCACCAAGAGTACAAAGATGGGCCGTGACATTGAGTGCTTACGAGTACAACATCAGGTACAAGCCAGGAAAACATCATGAAAATGTGGATGCGCTCAGCCGGTTGCCGGTACCAGACTCAGCACCTGAGCAAGAGATGGCTGAGCAGGTTTTGATGATGGATGTACTGGATGACACATTAGTGGACACTGCACAGATCAAACGATGGACAGCTAAGGATGTCTTGTTGTCGCAAGTCCACGAGTACACCTTAAAAGGCTGGCCAACTGAGACCGATGCCTGTTTAAAGCCGTATCGACAGAGAAAGCTGGAACTGAGTGTGAGGGATGGTTGCGTGCTCTGGGGAGCCCGAGTAATTATTCCCACCAAAGGCCGAGACAAAATATTGAAACTCCTGCACCAGACTCATACAGGCATGTCGAAGATGAAAGGCTTGGCAAGGTCGTATGTATGGTGGCCAGGGATGGATGAGAACATTGAAAGAGAAGTGCAGGCATGTGAGGAGTGTCAGAAACACTCCAAGTCACCACCTACTGCACCATTACACCCTTGGGAGTGGCCGGAGTCACCATGGTCCAGAATCCATGTGGACTATGCAGGGCCTTTCCTCGGGGAGATGTTTCTAATCATTGTGGATGCTCATTCCAAGTGGATGGACATTTACCCTGTGAAATCCTCTACATCACAGGTAACTATAGAGAAACTGCGCCAGAGTTTCAGTGTGTTTGGACTACCTAAAATGTTAGTTTCAGACAACGGAACATGTTTCACAAGTGCTGAATTTGAGTCATTCATGAAGCAGAATGGAATTGACCATGTAAGATCAGCACCTTTCCACCCTTCTTCAAATGGGCTGGCTGAGAGGGCGGTCCAGACCTTTAAGGAGGGGATGAAGAAAGTCAAAGGTGATACCTTGCAAACCAGACTGTCCCGATTTCTGTTCAGTTATTGCATCACACCGCATGCCACTACTGGTTTATCACCTGCAGAGTTGATGATGTCACAGAGACTCAGATCAGTTTTGGACTTGCTCATGCCTGATGTGAAAACAAAAGTGCAGCACAAACAATTGAAACAGAAAGAAAATCATGACACCAAGAAAAGACTGAGAAGTTTCACACCAGGAGACAAGGTCTTCATCAGAAACTACTCCTATGGCCCGAAGTGGATTCCCGCAGTCATTGTGAGAGCATCGGGTCCAGTGTCTTACATTGTTACCATTGGATCAGGTCAAACTGTGAAGCGGCATGTGGATCAGGTGAGAGCAAGAGTGGCTGACACTGTTCCCAGTACACCAGACAGGGAGGTGGAGCCATTGCTTGACAAAGAATCAGTGCCTGAGTGCTGCTTGCCATTGGAGTTGGACACATCGCCACAACCTCCGGCAATGGAGTTGCCTTATGCTCCGGAGACTCCAGCTCCCGGAGACTCCTCAGTGACACCCGTGTTGCGACGTTCCCAGAGAGAGAGACGTCCACCAGAGACTTTAAAGGACTTTGTTAGGTAGTGTGAGATCTTCCAGAAATAGAGCAACAATGCGCTCTGATCTCACAGGAAGGACGTACCTTCCTAGTTAGAAAAAAAAAAAAAAGAGAAACATGGAAACCTATGTACAGTTGTATGGTTGTATGGTTACCTTAATTACATGTTGATTGCTTGTTAAGCATTCTTTAGATAAACAGTTATTTTGTAAGTCAAGGGAGTTGTTGACTTAAGGGGGGAGGAGATGTGGTATCGCAAGAAATAAGTGGTTATATAAATATATGAGTATACATAATAGTTATTATTCATAGATACCTACCTCCTAAGTTCCTGTTATTCTTCTGAAAGAAACAGAATGAGTGTGTTGTTACAATGGTAATGTCAGGAGAGGCAGTATTAGTTCTGTGTTACATTAATGTGTAAGGAAGTGGAAGAAGTGTGTGTCCTGTAGGAGGCAGTAGAAAATGGATGCTCATGTTCTGTACATGCCCTGAAAGAAAGGTTCAGTAAACCAGTGCAACGATACTCCGGTGTAAGGCTCAGTTATTGTATTTTTATTTTTTGAAGATGCAACAGGACCGTAAAAAAGGCGCAAATAGGACCCTGGAAACAAAGCTCCCCACAGGAGTTTCCGCACCGGAAGTAGCATATGCTAACGTGCACATAGTCATTTAAACGAACAGAAGAAGAAGAAAACCCCTGCACATGCGCGGTACGGATCGGGTAGACCCGATTTGGTCCGACTTTGCACATGCGCAGTAAGGATCGGGAGTCCTGATCCGTAACTGTCTTTTTATTTTTCGTTTTTGTATAAATTATATTGAAACATTTTAAGAGATACTTGTTATTCTTAACATCTTAACAGATACTCTGACCCGTAACTACCATAAAACGCTTCGACCGGAAGTAGACACCTTTCGCGCATGCTGGGTACCGATCGGGTTTCCGGTACGGATCAGGTAGTGACAGGCCGCTCTGACTCACATGAGCCCCATACCCTTTTAACGACGCTATTTATAGAGTCAATTATGAGCTCGTGTTTTAGAAAAGTCCCTTGTCCCAAACAAAGAAACAAAGACAATTTTTATTTTTTAGTCCAAAGGTTGAGAAGTTGCTTAGCTGAAAGAAGAAGAAACTGAACTTTATTTGGAGCCCGAGCAGCTGGATGCCATATTCTGATGTTTGACTTTGTAACATTAAGCTTCTGTTGTCCTGCTTATGAGAGAGCCTGTTTAAGTGCAGTGTCAGTGACAAAAGAAAGGGGGAGGGGTACGCGTTTGTCATGAGACTTGAATATCAGCTTGACTACCCCTTCAGTTGGTGTGTAGTGGTTAGAGGGAGGATAAAGACAATTAATGGGACCTGTTTATAAGCAGCTGTAAAACCTCCATGTTTACCAAAGCATCCAGTCATGAATGGAAATGCACCATCTAATGCAAAAAATATATGGAATGAGCCCCTTTGTAAGGGCCATGAAGATGTATATTGCATATTAAATGTTGTGAGGACGCCATCAACTAACTGCTGTCGAAACTGAAACTCAATTTTATTATTATTATTATTATTAATAATCATTACGTTATCCGACTTTTTAATGTTAAACAAAACAGAAAAGGAAACATTTCTCTGAAAATGATCAGGCAAAGGCCTGGATTGAAAATGAGAGAAAAACAGACAATACTGAAAGAAAAAAGAATTATATAACTTTCGAAAACCTGGAGATCTGGATACTTTCACTTTCTGATGACAAGACTCTCGCTAAAGCAGAGAGAAGGTGTCAGGCGAGCAGTAATAATGCCACCTGTAGCTCACTTCCTTTCAGTTGCTCAGCAAAACCACAGTCATCTACAGGAAGAAGCTGCTTTTTCCTCCCAGTGTTTAAGATAACTCAGCCATTTGGTTTCTTTTGTTTTTCACTTTTAAGATATTCTCTAATCAAAATAGTTGCTCCGAGTTTTGCCTCAGATCTCAGAGTCTTCAGAGTTAGTCTGATGAGGAGGGACCTTTTCTTCCATGTAGGATCAACTGATTTTGTTCCAATTTAGTTTCCAGTTTAATTTATCATTTAGTTTGACCATTTTACAACTTTGTTTATCTGCTTTGTTGCCATCGAACAGAAAGCCCTTCTTTTTCAAAATGCAACATGTCATCCTGTGACAGAAGAAGAGGAGGAGGGTTTGACTTTGAGTGACTGTAAACTGCTGGTCTGATTTCACCAAGAGGCTCAATGGAGAAAACACCTCTGCTAACGCTGCTCTGTAAGTACATCGCAATGATTATAGCTGTAAAAAAGCTCTCTGATGTGTCTCCATCACAAACATACATTTTTGTGTAGAAACAAAGGAGTTTTATATAGATGAGGCGACACAGAGGAGGCCAAGTAGAAGGAAGAAGGTTAAAGAGGAAATCTGAAAAATTCATAATAAGTAAAGTCAGTGTAGATACTTGATTTATAGGTTAATGTGCAGTCTTCATACAGATGTGTGGCATGAAACTTTGTTGCATGAGAGTGGTGAAAACAAGACTCTTTAGGAACAGTTATAGAGTGAAAGCATACTTACAATAGTTAAAATGCAATATTCAGAACCACATCCATTACGTTAATGAGTCACACTTAATGATGTGTTAATGTGTCACTTTAATGTTATGTGAAAAACTAAGTACACCCCATCATTCACTAGCTACTGAAGCCCTCTTTAGTTTTTCTGTATGATGTCATCAGTCTCTAACATCATTATGGGGGAATATCGGCCAAATCTTCTTCACAGTGTCTTTTCACTTCATTGAGGTTTGTGAGCATTATAGCCAATCATCTCTCATCTCTTTGGTTCTTGCACTGTCATGCTCTTTATTATCTAACATGCTAACTGAGGCCTGTGGAGTCTGACATGTAGCTCTTACAGTTTCTCTGAGCGCTGCAGAGTCTGACCTTGATGTAAATTTGCTGGGACATTCACTCCTGGAAAGATTGTGGCACTGTGTTAAAACACACCTGAATGCTCCGGACCAACAAACTTCCAAAATATCAGTTTGTCTGTCAAGTGCATTTGATCACCTGGCTGCTACCTTTGCTGTGTCCACACAGAAAATGATTCACAGTAACGTGGTAATCATAGCCTGCAGAAAGTTTAAAATCAATGGTGCAGAATATTAAGGGATTATTTGCATCCAAAAATAACGGAGTAGAAGTAGAAAGCATTATTTAAACCAAACTGATCATATCTGTGGAACGGCAGAGTTTTATTTATTGTTTTAAATAAATTTAAACTAACCTGAAGATTTCTCATTTCTCTTTAGTTCTGATCTCACTGCTGTTGCACACAACAAACCCAGGTCAGTAACCTCACTAAGAGCTTCACTTAAATAAAACTGACTGTGTTTTATGCCGTATTAGTGAATTATGTCCTGTGTATTTCTCAGAGATGTTTATATTTTTATTCATTTTAAATGTTGCTGTTAGGCTAATATGACACGTCAGTAATTACTTATCACCAAATTCTTGCGTCTCTTGATTTTAATCATAAACAAAGCTGAAGATGATCAGGCTCCTGCAGAGACATTATTCTAGCAGTCTATCTGATCTCATCAAAGCCTTCTAACTGCATCACAACCTTAGTTTAAATCCCGAGCAGACTGAACATTTATCTTTTAAAGAACTGCTGGAAATGTTTTAGTTTGGTTTGGATTTTCTTGAAGATTCACCCCTAATGTTTGGCTGTGATTCACAAAATTGCTTGTGAATGAATTAATGAATTAAAGAACTTATGTTTGAATATACTGTGTGCTGGGTTTTGTATGTCTCTTTAAGATTTTTTTATGAAACTTTGACACAAATAAAGTTATTACTAAAATAATAATTACATTTACTCTTCCTCACAAGCTCGTCTGACTGTGAGTCCCAGCAGCTCTCAGTTCTTTAAAGGAGACTTTGTGTCTCTGAGCTGTGAGGAGGACGACAGCTCTGCTGGATGGACTCTGAGGAGAAACACAAGCAGAGACACCAGGAGTCAGTGTGGAGCTGACTGGGGGAGCTCATCTGGTTCTTCCTGCACTATCAGTCACATCATCCCACTCGACAGTGGAGTTTACTGGTGTGAGTCCAGAGAGGGTCCCATCAGTAACATGGTTAAGCTGACAGTCACTGGTAAGCTGAGTGTGTGGAGTTAGTGTTGATGAAGCTGTGTGTAAATGGATGAAATGCTGTAGTTTGTCTCTGTGTTGAGGTGGATCAGTGATCCTGCAGAGTCCTGTCCTCCCTGTGATGGAGGGAGATGACGTCACTCTGCTCTGTAAAACAAAGACCACTCCCTCCAACCTCCCAGCTGCTTTCTATAAAGATGGCTCCCTCATCAGGAAGCAGCCTACAGGTCACATGACCATCCAGCATGTTTCCAGGTCTGATGAAGGCCTCTACAAGTGTGACATCAGCGGTCATGGAGAGTCTCCATCCAGCTGGATCACTGTCACAGGTGAGGAGCTTCACTCTGATTTCACCTCTTATTTCATCCACATATTCACCTGAACATGTGAGATTCTCTCTGCAGGCAAACCTACAACCACAAGCTCACTCTTCACCTCTACAACCCCACTCCCATCTTCTGCCCATCCAGCTGACCTTGTGTTGAGTGTTTTCTTCTACCTGGTCGTTTTCACTCCATACTTCATCTCCACTCTCCTCATGGTGTCTTTGTATCAACACAGAGCCAAAGGTAACAGTCTAAATTACCTTGATTACATACTGTGGTCAATTCAATGTAAAAAAGTTTAATTGCGTGCTTTTTCTTTTTGTGCCCCATTCTTGTGGAATAGTCTCCCTCAAAATATTAGGCAGGCATGCTCTGTGGAGGTTTTTAAAACTAAGTTGAAGACACATCTGTTCACCCTATCTTACATGTCTTAAATCTATGTCTTTTAGTTTTTAAATTCTTACTGTTTTTAACTACTATTGTGTTTTTACTTGTACTGCTAGTTATCCCTTTTATTTATTCATCTTTTTAGTTTCAAATAGCTGTTCAGCACTTTGTT